ACACACTCCATTTGGAGCGGCCTGGTCGTGCATTAAATATTATTTAGATAAGGCGAAGCGCGCTTATCAATCAGACGTCAGACGCACCGACACCGCGCACAAATTGCAGAGCACGACGAGGTGTACGGGGCTGGAGGGAGAGAGGTAACTGTAGCTGTAAATGGGTGGGGGTGGCCGTAGCATTTAACAGTTGACTGTGTAACATGATTTTTCCATCATATTCATTGAAAGTAACTGAAAAGAAGTTAGCCGACAGTTGTTCATGTTTAAACTAACAATTTACATATAGGCTATATATTAAAGAGTCTATCTCTTTCACTCTAATACTGGCAGGGGTCTCGCTCTGCGCATTGAACTCTGGCGGCACATTTCCAAGAAGCCAATTGCTAAATCAACAAAAACACAAACAAACTCTGACGAGCAAAACAAAAACCTCGAAAAGTCATTACATATATCTTCTGATTGAGGCACTCCCCGACAGTCCTTTCCCTCTCCCCTCTATCTGCGCTCTCTCTCTCTCTCTCTCTGTCCTGCCGCCGCTCTGCAAAATGCAGAAGCTACAAGCTAACAGCTTTTTATCTCAGCCACAGGCGGCATTGTTTTTGGCGGCCCAGGCCAAAAGAGTTACCAAAATGCAAAAGGAATACCAAAAGGCAGCAAAAACCAGTTGGACCTGGTGTCCAGCACTCGGCTTGCTGGGGTTGCTCCAGTCCAGGCCTTATAAGGTCGCTGGCATGCCAAGCAATGGCACTGGCAAAGCCAATGTGCAAAGGCAAAGGAAAACGGCAAACGGCAAACGGCAAAGACAAAGGCAACAGCAACGCCAACTTCCTGGCTAATATTACGAAAATTGCTTAAAGAGAGTTTCGCTCTGTAGGATCAACCCGAAAAAAAAAAACACAACAAAAAACAAAACTGCACCACGGCGCGAAGACTGAAGCCTGAGCCTGTCAAGCGTCTGCCTGCTCGACTGGCTGCCTCTGCCGAGGCTTCGGCCTCAGCCTCTGCTCCTGCCTCAGCCTCTGCCGTTGCCTGAATGCCATTGGAATCGCCTGTTGCCTTCTACCGTAATTCACAACAACGATAATAACAACAACTAAGCCAGAGGTAAGGCAAAAGTTGCGAAACTCGCCAGCAGTCACAGTGGTAGAAAGCTGATTAACATTAAGCGAAATTATATATATATATATTATGTATAAATACATAAAAATATAATTATAGATAGGTCCCATTATTGGCAGAGATTTTTATAATAATAAATACACTATTATTAATAAAAATTAATAAATTACCTAATAATAAGTCCTGCACTGCTACATTAATATTAGTTAATTTTTTATTTCATTTATTTTTTATTTATTATTATATAATTATTTGAATAAATAAATAAAATAATAACAATACTCTTTTTTATAGAAAATTTTATCAAATTTGTTGCAGATTTATATAAAAATAATGATTATAAAAATATTCATAATTTTAATAGTAATAAATAAATATAAGGATATTAAAATTTTAGTTTATTTTATTATTTTAATTTATTTAATGGAAAGCTGATAAATTATATAAGAATAGCATAAATTAATTTATTTTTTTTTTTAATTTTAAGTGAATTAAAAATCTTGATATTATTAATGAATTATGAACATAAAATATCTTCTTTATATATAATCATAAAAAAAAAGAAAAAAAACATTTAATTATTGTATAAATATGTAAATTTAATTACTTAACACAGAAGTTTCCCTATAAGTTACTTTTTAACTGTGACAATACAGAACTCTTCACTATAGTAAATCCAATTTTTCATAGGCAATTTACAAGATTTTTCAAATCTATGCATATAAATCTTTTTTTTTTTTAAAGAAATAAATAAAAGCAATCTATTCATATTCTCTCCCATTCGCATTGCATTTGCCCCACTGTGCAGCGGTGCACGGCCTCTGTGTGTTGCCGAACTTCAAGCAAAAAGCGCATCTTTTGAACAGTGCGCAAAGCGCAGCTTGTCCCGCGGCTCAGCTCGGGCCATGCCCAGCCACACACACACACACACACACACACATAGGCACACAGTCGCGCGTGTTGTGTGTATCTGAAAGATATACGAAAAACAAAAACAACGTACGCTCGTTTGTCCGTCTCTCTGTTTATCTGTCTCTCTGTCCATCCGTCTGTCCGTCCATTCGTCCCGCCGTCTGTCGATCGTCGGCTCTAAACCGCTTTTGTGTATGGCCGCCGAGATGTTTGGCATAGTTGAAAGCGCGGAACTGGTTGGAGCTGCGGCTGTTGCTGCTGCTGCTGCTGCTGCGGCTGAAGATGGAGCTGCGAGCCGAGAGCTCAGAGCAGGGAGCACGAAGCTCAGAGCTGTTGTAGATGGAGGAGTTTTGCCGCTGCCTTGCAACGCGCCGACGCCGACGTTTGCCGCTCTCAGTTATTATTATTTTTGTTTGTGGCGGCGACTCCACAACAACAACAACAACAACTGCTCGTTGCTGCTGCTGTTGTTGTTGTTTATCAACGTGAGGGCTTTAAAAGGTTTTTGTGGCATAGCAGCTGCCCGTGTGCCTTGTACCTCCGCTTACCCGCGCCGCTGTTCCTCTGCCTAGCGCTCTGCCTCTACCTGCAACAGGTAAGAAATTTTCGCTCGCTCGTTCGGCATTTCAATGTGTTTTGTTGCTCTTCTCTTTAGGCTGTTTTATTTGATTTTTTTTTTTTGTTGCTTTTCTTTTCAGTTCACTTTTTCTGCTGCTGCTGCTGCTGTTGTTGTTGTTGTGCCTTCTGCTGCTGCTGCTGCTTTCTTTGAAGTTGTTGCATGCTTCGGCGTGCCTTTGGGTTTCCTTTGAATTGTCTCGCTCTCCCTCTCGCTCCCTCCCTCTGTCCCTCTCTCTCTCTCTTCTCTCTCTGTTCACTGTCCTTTACTGGGCCAGCATCTGCAAGCAATTAGTGTATTGGGGCCTCTTGCGGTATGCCAGGCAACCCGCTCGAGCGAGAGCCTTGGCCAAGGGTTCAAAGTGTTGCCCTGGCATTTAATTGATGCCGTAATTGTAACCCCAGCCCCAAATTCTGCTGCCACTACCATCAACCACACCACAATCAGCTGCAGCTAAACGTTTCCATCGAATTGCCACAAAGCAAAAAGGAAGAAGCAGCAAAAAGGTTGGTTGATTGATTGATTGATTGATGTGTCGCGTCCACAACGCGACGTTTTGTTTGTGCAGAAAGGTCGCTTGCAGCTTGTATTTATTTACAATTGTGATACTCTGCGCTTGGAGAGTCTCTCAGCTATGCGATTGGATCATGAATTCGATCAGTTTTTCTAGCTGCAGCAGCAGCTGCTCTACAACCCTCCCGCTCTCCCTCTCCCTCTCCCTCTCCTTTTCACCCTCTCTCTTTCTCTTTCTCTCTGGCCACTTGGTCGGTGCTCTTTGGTTTTTCCATTTTCTATTTATTTTTCGTGCGTCGTTTTCTTTTGATGTTTTGTGAGTTGTTGTTGGTGTTGTTGTTGCTGTTGTTGTTTTTGGATTTTCTACGTTCTATTTTTGTTCGCGTCTTTTCCACTGCTGCTGCTGCTTCTTCTTCTTCTACTCTATCGACCACAAGCGAACGCCGCCCTGTTCTGTGTATCTTGCAGATAAAGAACGCAGCGCTCTGTCGATTGCCTACAATTCTTTTCTTTTTTTCCTCTTCTTTTCCATTTGCCGTTGTTATTCTCGTTGTGTGTGTGTGTGTGTGTAATTATTGGAAAAGGATGTGGGAGAAGCCCTTGACTGAATGAATCTTCAAATTTATATCTTAGACAGCAGCACACTGAGTGCCGCAGCACTAGGTTACAGAAAAACAAAAACAAATACACACACCTATACACATCTAGATCGAGCTGCTGCATTCGTTGAGTAAAGGGGAAAAGCATTTCTAGAGACATATGGAAGTCTAACTAATATAGATTGCTAAAATATATAGAGATACCTACATATATTGCTTTGTTGTATATTGTTTGTTCTCGTGTTAATTAATATTTATAGTGTGAATTAAGCTAGATGGAAATGCTTTGATGCTGATCGTTTAACAGAAAATGTTGAATTTTTACTTTAAATAATTTGAAAGAAAAATATATACATATAACAATAAATTGAATTGTTTTTCAGCAACTGTTTGAGTGGCTAAAAACAGCTGCTTTTCCTAGAAATTTTCAATTTATAAAGAAAATTGATGAAAAATCAAAACAAAAAAAAACATAATTGTTTGCTATGCCAGCTGCCAATGCATAACAGCATATGTCATATGTATAAGACCTGCAGTTATTAGAATCACAGCTTATACACAGACGAGACAGACTTCAGCTTATAAAGATATTAGTATGAATGCATGTGGATAATAGTTGCAAATATAAGAATACTCTTATACAGTTTTGTAACAAATCAAATCAATCAACAGCTTATATTCGTCTAGCAGTACATATATGTATGTAATATGTGCATATTGAAAGCGGCATTGGACAGATGCATACAAGACGCATATAAATATAAGTATAAGAGCATATTCGAAACTTAACAGAGTTATATACAACTCATGTCTGTAAGTGCTTACTGAAGCTCTGCTTAAGCTTATATGTTAAACACTTGAATATAAGAGTAAATTAGAGCTCATATAGAAGTAATACAAATGTATATTACACACATACATATAGAAGATCATATACGAATGCATGTAAGACGCATGCTTAAAGCACTTATAACTCAGACCAAAATTGTCAGCGGGCAGTGCTTAAATTGATGATTGAATATGTTTTAATTATTTATAAAATAATTTAAAATATTGAAAATTCAAAATAGACAAACATTTTTTTAATGCAGCTATAAATTCAATAAATACAACAATATGTAGCATTTGAATACATATGTATTTATTTCTTTATAGATTGCAATACATATGTTCCGCTGCTTGTTTACAGCTAAGCTACACGATTCTTAAAGTTTCATAGCTGTGCAATTTAGACTTACCTGAGAATTGTTTATAGCCGCCGAGTATTTTGTGCTTCCACCATTTGACAATATTGCCCGCCATCTCTGCTGTTTTATTTATTTATTTTCCGCTGCTTGTTCTACTTGTTCTTCTTCTGCTGCTGCTGCTGCTGCTTGCTTTTTGCAACTACAATTGTTGTTGGTTTATTTGTGTTTGGTTCTGCCTGACTATTTACGAGCGACTGTGTAGCGAGTGTAACTGTAAATGTTGCTTTGGCCAAAATGTTTTACGGCCTTTGTGGGTGGGTTATCCTCGTTGATGCTGCTGCTGTTGCTGCTGTTAAGACTTTTACACTTGCTCTCAGGTGCCACAACGCAACGTAGGTGGCGACCTTAATTTGTATCTGGCATTATTTTGTTGAGGCGGGGGCTTTGAGGGGGATTCGCTTGGCGTTAAGGCTGGATCGTAAAACTTTTTACAGCCTTGATATGCTGCATTTTAGTTGAATTTTGCGCATATTGTGCGACCTGTTCCGTCTCGCTCACACAGACACCCACTCTCTCGCGCTCTCCCTCTCGCTCTTTCGCTTATTTTTGGCGTGCGTATGTTTTGGGTGTGTGTGTGTGTGTGTGTATCTTGCAGATACTTTTTGACGTAGCGCGCGTAATTTTAATTGTAAATTTTTTGTTGTTGTTTTTGCTTGCGCGACGCGACGTAAATAACTTGGCGAATGAACAACAGCAACAACACCAACAACTACGGGCCAACAACAATAACTGCAAAATGCTAAAGCGCAAAACACGATTTGTATTTCCAAATGCGAACAGCGACGCTGACTGAGACGGCGGCGACGGCGACAGCGACTGCGATTGCGGCGGCAACTTTTTGGGGTGTAACTGTTGTTGTTGTTGTTGTTGTTTATGTGGTTGTTTTTGTTTGCGGGGCGGTTTTGTATTTAACGGCACTTGCTTTTCGTTGCACACAATGCACAGACGAAATAAATTTCCAATATTTTGTTGTTGCTGTTGATGTTTAACGCTTCTCGTAAACACTTTCCATACCGGTTTTCATTCACTTGGCACACAAATTTTCAGTCAATTGTTGTGTTTATTTATGATTTGTTAAGGACGCACGTTTGCCCGCGTATTTTCCAGAACAGTCACAAAACGCGATACGTATGCGAGTCTTAAGCGAAGACACGACCAACTCGATGGGCGTACAGAAACGAACTGAACATACGAAACACAAAATGCTGCCTTTAGACTTGTACCAAAAATGAGTTGGGGACGAATGGAAGAGAGAGAAACACAAAAACATTGACTCTCTTCGGTTGATGCCGCTGCCAGTTAACAGAGCTAAGAGCAGAGCATGCTACGCCTGGAAACGGAACGGGCGTTCTGTTGTAGTTGTAACAGCAATCGCTGCTGCTCTTGTTGGTGTAATAGAGCAAGCGTACCATCGACTGCTGTTAAGCGTTACAAGCATGTAATGTTGATGTAAATACATGCATATGTAGGTACAAGACTCAAATGCGATTGACATTTATTTGCTTAAGAGCCACTTTACAGTGAACCTTATACCCTGTAACTAGAGCATACGAAATGCAGTATAATGCGAGTGAGATACCCTGTAGATAAACACATAGAAATAATAAGGAACTCAAGCTTTCTTTTAATATATAATAGCATTTATGTTTGTCTATATGTGTTATATTGATTACATTCCTTTATTCGAAATTTGATTGTATTTTAATTTGAAGGCTCAGCGGCCAGGCTTTCGGTTTTTGGGCTTCTGCGTAGAGCAGCGCTGATGTTGTTGTTAATATCGCCGCCTGCTGTGCTCGACATCGGGGCAATTACCCAGCAGCAGCAGCAGAAGCCGCCAAAAACTTGCCCCAGCTCCAAGACTCGAAGCCCGACGATAATAACAGAGCAACCAGAATCCTGAATTACGCTGCAAATTCACAAAAAAAAAGAAAATAACCAAAAGAAAAGAAATAAAAACAAATGAGAGGAAAAAAAGGGGTTCTGCCTGGCAAGTGGAGAAGCTGCCGTCGTCGGCAACGGCGGCTTTGTGCGTCCAGAGGCCTCAATCCTAAGGCCTGCGGCTGCCGGCTTCGACACCGTAAACGTTCCGCATTCGTATAATGGCGCTGTAATTGAAGAAGAACACGCGATCGCAGCGGGACCCGCAAAAGGAGTAGACGCCCTCTCCCGCTCACACACTCTCTCTCTCTCTCTCCTCTCTGTGTCTAACAGGCATAAAGCAGCGGAAGGGTTTCTTGGCTGTGGGTTCTTTGGTTCTTCGGTTTTGGTTTACTTTCCTGCAGCGCCTTTGTTCTGGCTTCTTTCATCATCATCATCATCATCATCATTATCATTGTGATGCTCATCATCGGCATCATCAATGATCCGTCTTAATTTCATGTATGTTCTTTTGTATAATTTTTTCTGCTACCTTGCCTCAACCCTCTCTCTGCCTCCTACACCTTCTCTCTCTCTCTCTCGGACATGCGGGCAATTTTCGATTGTTCCCCTACGCTCATTTAACCTACTACAGCCTTTTGATTGATGTCGGTCCCATGTCTGTCCTGTTGCCCGTTGCCCGCTGCCTGTTGCCCAAACCCTGCCCAGTTATTGATTTATGTTTTATGTGTTCTGTTAAATTTCGCACAATTTTCGCAATGCGTTTGACAACAGTTGATGAACATTTTGTCCGTCCATGCGCTGTCCTCCGTCCGCTGTCATATGTCGCCATTGGCCTCTGCAGCCTCACAAATGTAATTACCCAAAACGGGCGTAAAAAGTGGGCGTGTCTGAGTGGATGTGCAGCTGGATAGCTCATAGGCAAGGCATAGAGTTTTAGCACTCCCTGCAGCGAGAGTAAGAGAGGGAGAGTAGGGAACGTACTCCCCCTACTCCTATCGATGCTGTCCATGGCAACTGTCACTCTAATTGACATGGGCTGTGTAGAGCTACATAGAGCTGGAAGGGATTGCGACTGTCACACATGTGTTGGCGTGGACGAGCCACTGGGCGCCTTACTTGTTGATGGCACTTCATTAGGCTAAATGACATTTTATAATCAGTTTGCGAAAGAAAATCCGCTCTGAGGAAAACCGATAAGAATAAACAATTAATTAATGTGAATATTATATAGGCATAGCTAAATGGATAGATAGATAGGTAGACGGATTAAAAGAGAAGGAGGCGTGGAGAGTCAAAGAACTTAGATAATTGAAATGTATATTATATATGCATACAGCTATAAATATAAATTGCTTTCAAGTTGAAGATTTTACTCCAATTAATGATTATGAAAATTGCATAGAAAGGCGGTATTCTGAAGAGTGAAAGAAAGAGTTGAAATAGTATAAATCTAATGGAAGTGGAGAGATAAAAGGAAATTAGAAATTGAAGAAGAATTTTATTGAAAGTTGAAGAGAAGGAGAGTGGAAATATATAGTAAGTAATTAATGTTAAACTAAAGCAATAAAGCAGACAGCAAATTGGAGGCACTTCAGCTCTCTTTTATCCAAATGAAAAAAAATGTAATTAAATAATAATTTATGGTAAAAATAAAAGAGAAATAAAGGGACAAATAGAATGAGTGTGGGTACCAAATAAGCTATGACAATAGAATGAAACATAAGCCAGAAGCGTGGGAAGATAGTTAGAGAGATAATGTCATAACTAATAATAAAATATAAGATATATCAAAAGTAAAGGGGAAATAGAGAAAGGGCCAAAGAGAGAATGGGAGAGAAAGACACAGACAGAGAGAGAAAAGAAAAAAAATATTATAATAAAATAAAATAAAATGAAATAAATCAAATTTATTTAAATAAAATACTAAAAGAGTAAGAAAATATACTCATTTCTGTATTAATTAATCGTAACACTATGAAAATCGTATAGAAAGGCGATTACCTATTAAAAATATAGTCGTCAAGTGAGTTTAATAGGTTAATAACATATCCAGAGATAATATCAGAAGGAACTCCTAATGAAACTTAAGCAACTTGAGATGAATCATGCGTCGCATAGATTCCTCTAGCTAATTAAAGAATTCGCCTTGATTTAATGGCTGCTTGTTAAAAAATATCTGCACGAACATCAAAATTATTTAGTATCCACTTGAATAGTATTCTCTCGCCACTACTAGAAGATGTTCTTCTCACACCGATGTCGTAGATCTCGCGGCTCTAATGATGCACATTCTGGTGTTTGGTGTTTTATGATGGCACTTCGGGAAGTTTCCAGTGTTCAATTAGTTTCCAAAAACCCTGTGAGCTGTGCAGCTTAAGTATCGAATTAGCTTTTCGAGAAGAAGCAGAAAAAGAACAGAGAGTAGAAGGAAAAAAAACAACTGGCTTATCTGGCTGGCATCGTGTTGTTGTTTTTTTTTTTTTTTTTTTTTTTTGGCATCGTTAATCTCGCCATAAACTTGTCGAGCCGCAATTTTGAAGGGCCTAATCGTTTGATGATAAACCTCTGGACACGAAACTCTCTTGTAACTTGTGCCCGAGCATCGTAAAATCAAAGAAAGGCGGCCAAAAATCAGCCCAAAATAAAAAGCTCATAAAATGCGCCAGCAAATCGAATGGCTTTATTTTGTAGACAATTTTCGATATGTGTGTGTGTGTCAGCCACACTCTCCCATTCGCTCTCTCTCTCTCTTTCTCTCTCTCTATCGCACTCTGTATAGATTTTTAACGATTTCGGCCTAATAAGCAACAATTGGTCGTTGCAGCAATCGCTAGAACAACTCGAAAAATAATTTTTTTTATTATTATTATTATATTTCCAATTTCTATTTGAGTAGGAGTTGCATTTGGTTAAATGAGCGTGCGCAGGGCGCGTTTATCAAAATTAATTGGAAATTTGGTTGTGCGTTGATATTTAACGACTTCTGCGTAAAAGTCACTTTGGAAAATGAGCCACAGACATCAGAAGGAGACACGGAGCTGCACATGTACAGCCCGAAGAGATCGACTCACTATCCCTATCTCTCTCACACACTTTTCTGGATATATTTTGAATTTTTGCTTCGGCTCGGCTGTCACTTTAATGATCTTACAATATAATTTCCTGTCAAGTGCCAGCCGGATGACCCCAAACAGACAATTCATAATTGTTTTTCATCATTTGCTTTAAGGCGCCCCACGCAACCCCCTCCCATCGCTTCGTAGGCCCCAACGATGACGACAAGTTCATTTGAATTTGGGTATGACAGCCGCATAAATATTTATGAGCAGCACTTACAACAAAGTTAATTTATTTAATAGTTGCACTGTGCACAACAATTTTACGAGTATCAAAAGAAACATATAATAAATATATACATATATATATATATATGTATGTATTTATATGTGTGTATAATTTTCTTTGAGTCTCTTCCTCCAACAGTTTTTAATGAGCAGCACACACACACACACACTCACACACACACACAGAGTCTCTATGGCGCAATCTATATCTATATCTAATTTATGCCCCGCTCATAATTTATTGAAAATATTTTGTGCTTTTTAAGTTTTCTTGTTTAATTTGTTGTTTCATTCGCTTGGCTGCACCCTTCAAAATATATAAATAAAATGCACGAATTGTTGATCATTGAAACAAATATGAAAAGAAACAAAAAATATTGAAGCGAAAAGCAAAAATTGTTATTGAAATTAACGAGAATTCGTTTGCTTGTGCAGGAAACCAATGAAGTGTAGAGCTGATTGGGAATTTTATTTTGATTTTCAATCGGGCATAAACATTAAATTTTGGGAATTGATAATATTTTCAAGGCAATAAACGAAACATTTATGAGCCAAAGAAATATACATTGCTATAATATATACAAAAGAAATAAAGTTCTTTATAAATAAATAAAAAGCAATTGATGCGTAAAATAATTATTTATTTATGAGTTTTGAAATGAATAAATCGTAATTACCCGGCGTTGCTTGGTTTGAGGTGTGTTCGAAGTTTTAGCTTCGTTGCAAAGTTGGGACTAGAAGTATTCCTAACTTCTCCTTCCTAACTACTCCTTTTCCATCTCTCTCTCTCTTTCTATACCAGAGTATATTGTTTAAGGCATTAGTTTCATCTCTCTCACTCTCTATTTCTCTCTCTTTCTCTCTCTCGCTACTTATCTTCTCTATTTCTCTATTAGTCACTCTCTTAGTCTGTCTCTTTATTCTTATCTCTCTTTTTTCTCTATCTCTATTTATCCCTATCTCCACTT